TCCACTTGCTGTCGGTACCTTTGATCTCGGCGGGGCGTGCGCATTACAGTTCAAAAAAACGGGCCCCTAGCGCATGCCGTATTGCCGCTTAGTACCATTGTCGTAGTTGCCACATCGCCAACAAATCTCTTTAACGCATCCCGAGTCCCAAAATGACAAGTATCAATTTTACAACAGCTTTTATGGTAATAAAATGATGTAAAAACTAAAGATAGTAGATTTTTTATTACGCAAATTTTCTTTTTACTTCTGATCAAGGCCCCAGCTGTTGTTAAAATATTTGGCAATCACTATTGTATGAAGGCTTTCGAATGTAAAAACCTCAAAAAATTAACAAAATGATTTGGATGGCCATTGCTACGTACAGTCAGGGACACGGAATTTCATAAAACTGCACGTTTTCACATTAGATAAGGGAAAAAATTATATAGAACCACAAGAACAAAGTACCATGTAGTTAATCAAATTTATTTGTAAAAAATAACCACATTTCATTTATTTATTGACAAAAATAAATACGCCCTAATAATAAATATACGACACAAAACTTTTCAGATAATGTGATCGTAGAGCGTGATAGATGGATAGCTAATGCTTACTGGAAAGCAACAGGACAAGTCTACATATATTAATCAGAGCCTCCCTTTATCTGAAAACTAATATACAAATAAATACACCTACCACTAAAAATGACTTGAAGAAAGCCCAACAGTTTAACATATCACAGTCTAATATACGAAAAATATAGACGTCTAACAAAAACTTGACTTGACAACTTCTACAGATGTCGTAAACTATTATCCAATCTCGCTTTTTCTGATGTCATGTTGATTTTAAACGTTCCATATTGGCAATTTTTGTTCAATGGAATATTCTCATTCTTACAAAGACAGCAAATATTCTATTTGAAAATTATCACTTGGGAGAGCGTAATTAATAGTTGCTAGCAGCTCCTTTAACTTAAGCCTACATTTGAACCTAAAGCCACTGTCTGAAAAAGTTCGCAGCAGACGTTATCCTGTTTTTAATATACTCGTAAAATCCTAATGACAGCATTGTTAATCCTTCAAATAGATTTGGTCGATTGAAATGCCATGCAACATGGAAAACCTGTTCAGTCATTTCATTCACTTCATACTGAGTATTCCCATATTCAACACACCTGGAACAAGAATGAGGTGATAAACATTTCTAAAATAAATACCCACATATGTAGTAGAGGATATTCTACATTTGTATGTTCTGCAGTTTCTACAGTTAAAGGAGTAAAAATGTTTTTCTCTGGAAACAAATAGGTAGTCAAAATTATAAGCACTCATCGTTCCGCTGTCTAATATTATTAAAAATGTTCTCCATCGTCAACATTGTTTGTTCCTTCACAATGCTGAAAATAATCTAAACAAATTTCATAACCTAAAAATGATTAATACATTATGTTAATTCCAACAAAAATAAAGTGAAAGAGTAAATAGGTACTTATCGTTGTGGACGGCCTTAGTGGTGTTGCTTAATCAGAGTAAACACTGCCAGAAGTAAAATGTGACGATTCATAAATGTCAATATTTTTTGAGGTGGAAAGTCTTGGTTCGTTTGTCACAACTGTTTGTTTGGTAGTCCTTATTGTTTCACCTAAAATTTCCAATTATTCTACTAATTTAATTTTCAATAAGACGGCACCTGAAACATGAAGAGTTGGATAGGCTGTTGCTTTCGGTCGGTGGCACAACAGCTGATGTGGATACATTTTTAGTTCAAAGTGACGAATGCAAATCCGATACCTTCTGTAACGTTCTGTTGCAGAATTATTCATGACTGATTCTAGTTTAACTATTCTTGCCCATAAATTTGACCTGTATGTAAACAGTTTAATTTTATAATAAACAACATAGCACACACATATCACTGCGCTAATATGTAAGAAAACAAAGATAACCTTACCTAACCTAAATCATCAAAACGAAATATAAAAAAAGTGGCACTAGGCACTAATCTACAAAAGAAAAGAAAATTGTAATAGTTTTGCACGACTGCTGCAACGCCCTTAGTCACTTTTAATACGCGATATTCGTTAATTCGTTCACAAAAAGTAAATCACTAATTCAACCCATCCGATCAACATTTAACGTTGAAGTGACACAGAAATATTAATAAACGTGTTATGTTTAGGTTTTGTTAAATCAATTTAAATCAGTCAATAACAAAACCAACAATTCGCACACCTAACTTAAATGTGCAATTCCAATACTACAACATAACCTCAATCAACATAACAGCATTTTCGCATCTGACAGTTCAATAACCTAGCCTTACAACCGATGTTTAAATTTACCACGCAAAATATATTGCGCGGGATACCTGCGTAAGGCAAAATTGACTCCATGAAGGTTGCGGAGTGGGATATCACGTTCATCACTGGTAAAACGTAGAGCTAGACATATTAAGAATAATTTAATTTCAAAATGATGGCGCTCCCGCTCATTACACTATGCAACAAATTAAAAAAAAATAAAATTCACAGAATGCACAGTATGTAGTTAAAATTTCTTACCTCAAACTCAATTGAGGATTATACTTGAAAGAATCGTATCACATCAGGTTTCAAAATGAAAAGCGTGTATTGAATTTTTTGAAATCATACAAAATTAATAAAACAAAACTTTATTTTTCATTGAAAAAGGTCTTTTTTTTTGAAAGATTGACATTCCTATTGTAGCCAGATCTCGCAGTATCCCTCTGAAGACACCAACAGAAGTCTGCAAGCATGGGTGGATACATAAAAGCGATATTTTTACGATTAAATGCAATCAAGTGTCCCAAAAAGTAAGAAAAACAAAACACCCGTTATCTATATTTTGTGATGTAATATGAGGATAAAACATTTTTTTCTTTAGTATATGGAGTATAGCTACCCAACCTATCACATCAGGTTTCAAAATGAAAAGTGTTTATTGAATTTTTTGAAATCATACAAAATTAATAAAACAATACTTCATTTTTCATTGAAAAAGGTCTTTTTTTCGAACGATTGGCATTCCCATTGTAGCCAGATCTCGCGGTATCCCTCTGAAGACACCAACAGAAGTCTACAAGCATGGGTGGATACATAAAAGCGATATTTTTACGATTAAATGCAATCAAGTGTCCCAAAAAGTAAGAAAAACAAAACACCCGTTATCTATATTTTGTGATGTGATATGAGGATAAAACATTTTTTTCTTTAGTATATGGAGTATAGCTACCCAACCTAGCACATCAGGTTTCAAAATGAAAAGTGTTTATTGAATTTTTTGAAATCATACAAAATTACTAAAACAATACTTCATTTTTCATTGAAAAAGGTCTTTTTTTCGAACGATTGGCATTCCTATTGTAGCCAAATCTCGCAGTATCCCTCTGAAGACACCAACAGAAGTCTGCAAACATGGGTGGATACATAAAAGCGATATTTTTACGATTAAATGCAATCAAGTGTCCCATTAAGTAAGAAAAACAAAACACCCGTTATCTATGTTTTGTGATGTGATATGACTATAAAACATTTTTTTCTTTAGTATATGGAGTATACCCAACCTCAAACACTATCTGAACTTTCTGTGAATTTTTTAGTGTTGCATAGTGTATCAGAGAGACGTTAAAAACTATTTACACATAGCGTTTGGACCAAGACTTATTGCTAGAGAAGAAGTGTACGCTTGGCCTGCACGGAGCCCTGATCTAACGCCATTAGATTTTTTTGGGAGAAGGTGTAAAATGACGTTTATAGTGCCCTAAAGACCCTAGATATACTTAGGAAAGTATATCTAGGGACACTATAGTGCCCCAATCGAAAATGAAAACCACCTACCTGAAAGGATAATAGCGTCATGCAGATCTATAACTCCCGACACTTTAGATAAAGTTCGTAGAAATTTTAAACGTAGAATAGGACTTTGTGAAGATAGTGGAAGCAGGCATTTTGAACATTTATTATAAATTCGTTTTCGTTGTGATCTGATCCAAATTGAGTATTAATTTTTTCAATTTTGTCATTATTTGGCATTGACACCTTTGTCATTTTTTTTCTGTGATTGCTGATTGCTTATTTAAAAAAAATAAATTGGACGAAGTCTTCTCTGGGGTGTATAATATGTTGCCTATGCAAAAATGGTCAGGCGTGAACAGATAAAATGAACATTCTGCAAATATAGTAGAGTAGCTTCCAACGCGAAAGGTGAAAGCAGGTGGGAGTGCGCAGAACACAGTTTTGGTTCGGTCTTACAAATATCGTGGAAACAGTGACGGCGGCGATTAAAATTTAAAAACACGCACGATATAATCTGAGGGACATTAAAAATATTTTGAGTTTGAAATATTAAAGTATTGTTGGCATTAATAAAATATAATATTTTGTACATGTTGGCTTTTTTTATTGTTTTTAATAGAAATATAACCCAGTCATACCCCCCTTCTCAATACATCGATGTTACGCCACTGCTGGTCCGACTACAAGTCGCGCAACTTAAGCCCCGCCCCTGTCGCCTTTCGCTCTGACGCCGGCTCTATAACAATAAATATGACATTAGTTGTTGACAAAACCAGATAAAAGGATCACCGAAAAGGTAAAAATGAAAAAAAAAATGTTCGTCAAGGTCGGAACACCTTCAGATACAGATAGTGACATCTTTATGTCGTTCCGTTAGCTCCCCATGTATTTCTTATGGGAACAGATGACTTTCAATGAGTTGACTTTCGTTAATTCTATACACAGGTTCTATACTGTGGACGGAGCATTAGCCTCCCACGCAACCATAATTTTATCTCTCTTTTCATCGAACACATCGAATAATATCATTATGGATTTCATAACCTTCGTGGGTCGACATCACAGATATTGAAAGAATAGATTTCACATGCTGTACACCTGCCTACACCTTCTAAAGTGTGACATGAGTGTAAGCAAAAGTTCTGTGGTGAGCACAGATCACATACAGGGTGCCGCATCCAAGTCTGGATATAGGGAATTAACATGCGAATTGGTTTTTATTTTATAATATCTCCCCAGATCACTTTAAAGCTATTATTGAGTGATGGCTTTGTGGAGGTCGAAGAGGGCTATCGGCCAGTATTTTTTTCAAATCGTTTCATCGCGCTCATTCACTGTAAAAAGGTTTTAAAAATCGTATTTTGAAATTCGCGCCCGATCCGAATTGTCGCGAAGTGTTCCGTCGTACTGTCGAAGTTCGGCGATCGCGTATTTTCATTATCCATGCAAAATTCAAATGTCAAAGTGAAATTAGAAATTATTCTCATCAGAAATAAACGAACAAGTCAAACTGAATTGTTTTATCCAGTGTGATGATTATTGTAGGACAAATTAAACGGAATAAATGCACAAATTGATCCATTCATTCGTCATAGTGCGCGACCCCGTCAAACGAGCCATCTCGAACTACAATCAGACCGTATCCAAAAAGCCCAAGATGAAGACTTCAAGACTTCGAGCAGCTGGTCTTCCTCAAAACCCCATCAAAGCCCATCGGCAGCATTGCGACATTTTCTGGGAGCCCTCAAGCTAGGAATGTACTCGGGCTGCCTCACTCAGTAATCACTGAACGACTCAAATTGAATTATTTTATCCAATATGACGATTATTGTAGGTCAATTTAAACGAAATAAATGCACAAACTGCACAAAATATTTTATTAGGTTATGTTGCTGGTGCTGATCGAGTCTTTATTACTAAAATCTCATTAAAATGCCATGTTCTACTGCGATTAGATGAAAAAGCGAGGGCCCGCATTTCTTATTGTGTGATGATAAGATTTACCATCAAAATAGCTGGCGCTTTTGAAGAGGACCTTTTAATGAACCATTTAGATAACTACAAATAACAAAACTTAACAATTGTTGATGAATGAAGTAACGAAATATTGTACGAATCTGGAGAAGTATTGCACTATTTTCAAGAATTGCTCAAAAAGACTGCTCTCAGCAGCTGTACAGTAAGTAAGCCAATCTTCAAAACTCCTACGCGTGTTGATCAGCATTTTAGTTGAAATCTGAAGACAATATTGCTGGATTGCTTGTTTCAGCGCTTCTCTGTTTGTATAGCTTGTCTGAATGCAGATGGTCGTGAAGAAATCTCCAAAGAAAAAATTCTCAGGGGTTTATATCCGGCGATTGCACAGGCCAATGGGGCGGTGCAAACTTTCCATTCCAACATTGCGGAAAAATACTGGTTCAAATAAACAACATTTATGCGAACTGTATGGCTGGAGATTTGGTCCTGGATGTAAAAGACCTGCTGCAGATGCCGCACCCTTCGAGTCCCAGGAAGTATTTGCTGAGCTAGCATATTATCCTACTTCTGAGCATTCAATCCGGATTCGATGAAAAAAGGTGCAATGACATGATGTCCTAGAAGCCCCAGTCATACACTGACAATTGCACGCCATTGATAACGAAGGTCATGGACCACGTGAGGGTTGTGTAATGCTCAAATTTGATCGTTCTGACGATTATAACTTCCCTTAAGACCAAATGAACGTCAGTAAAACAAATTTTCCTCAAAAACTCTCCATCAGCCTAGATTCTCTCAAGCGTTCCTTCGTAAAACTCTATATGTGAGAAGTAGTCCCCAGGCTTCAATTTTTTGTCATGATGCTTTTTGAAGTTCTTCTATCTCATCTGTTTAAGACCCCTAGAAAACGTCGTGCCCACCTGATTTTATGTAATTTTTATCACCTTTGAAAATAAATGTAACTTTATTTTGCGAAATATTATTTTTATTTTTGTTGTTGTTAACACAATAAACAAATAAAACAGTAATACAAAAGTTTCTGAATCCCAAAACACATTCGTAATAGAGAAAAATACTTTAAAATGTTGATGAGTCAATGTTCTACATTTCTCTCTCAAAAATTTCCTGTAATGAAGATGCTTCCTGGAGGCAAAAAATCCATCCCTGCTTAACGAATGTAAAATCAATTGACTTCCAATCTTTAGTGATTCCAAAAAAAGGGTGAAATTTATCCAAATTACCTACTAATTAAATTAACTGTTGAAGAACATGCAGGCCCCCGCTTTTTCATCTAATCGCAGTAGAACATAGCATAACCGAAGGGTGCGGCATCTGCAGCAGGTCTTTTACATCCAGGACCAAATCTCCAGCCATACAGTTCGCATAAATGTTGTTTATTTGAACCAGTATTTTTCCGCAATGTTGGAATGGAAAGTTTGCACCGCCCCATTGGCCTGTGCAATCGCCGGATATAAACCCCTGAGAATTTTTTCTTTGGAGATTTCTTCACGACCATCTGCATTCAGACAAGCTATACAAACAGAGAAGCGCTGAAACAAGCAATCCAGCAATATTGTCTTCAGATTTCAACTAAAATGCTGATCAACACGCGTAGGAGTTTTGAAGATTGGCTTACTTACTGTACAGCTGCTGAGAGCAGTCTTTTTGAGCAATTCTTGAAAATAGTGCAATACTTCTCCAGATTCGTACAATATTTCGTTACTTCATTCATCAACAATTGTTAAGTTTTGTTATTTGTAGTTATCTAAATGGTTCATTAAAAGGTCCTCTTCAAAAGCGCCAGCTATTTTGATGGTAAATCTTATCATCACACAATAAGAAATGCGGGCCCTCGCTTTTTCATCTAATCGCAGTAGAACATGGCATTTTAATGAGATTTTAGTAATAAAGACTCGATCAGCACCAGCAACATAACCTAATAAAATATTTTGTGCAGTTTGTGCATTTATTCCGTTTAAATTGACCTACAATAATCGTCATATTGGATAAAATAATTCAATTTGAGTCGTTCAGTGATTACTGAGTGTGGCAGCCCGAGTACATTCCTAGCTTGAGGGCTCCCAGAAAATGTCGCAATGCTGCCGATGGGCTTTGATGGGGTTTTGAGGAAGACCAGCTGCTCGAAGTCTTGAAGTCTTCATCTTGGGCTTTTTGGATACGGTCTGATTGTAGTTCGAGATGGCTCGTTTGACGGGGTCGCGCACTATGACGAATGAATGGATCAATTTGTGGATTTATTCCGTTTAATTTGTCCTACAATAATCATCACACTGGATAAAATAATTCAGTTTGACTTGTTCGTTGATTTCTGATGAGAATAATTTCTAATTTCACTTTGACATTTGAATTTTGCATGGATAATGAAAATACGCGATCGCCGAACTTCGACAGTACGACGGAACACTTCGCGACAATTCGGATCGGGCGCGAATTTCAAAATACGATTTTTAAAACCTTTTTACAGTGAATGAGCGCGATGAAACGATTTGAAAAAAATACTGGCCGATAGCCCTCTTCGACCTCCACAAAGCCATCACTCAATAATAGCTTTAAAGTGATCTGGGGAGATATTATAAAATAAAAACCAATTCGCATGTTAATTCCCTATATCCAGACTTGGATGCGGCACCCTGTATAAATGTTCTGTGGTGGTGAGCAACAGGCAACATATCACTGGCGAGTGAGTCAGCTTTGTGGAGTCACGAGTCAGGCGTGAAAGGTTTGTATCCCCGCAGTACAGTGGCAGACGAATATTAGTGGACATCATTAATCGAGGTGTATAATTGGTACTAATTTTTCTGGAAAATTTGATTACTACACTTCTCACATGTTCGTGTATCTAGTCATTTTACACATCCAGTAAACTCTGCAAATAAGAACAAGTATAGCTCACTGATTCTAATTCTAAAAGAGACAGCAATAATATTTAATATCCGTTCGCAAAACTCCCGCACTGTCAAAATGACATTCTGTTGGTATGAGAAATAATCCCCTAAAAGATTTTTAAGTTTATATGATTACCGCCTTGAATTTCAAATTTTCGAAATTAATGTCTATTTGGCATTTGAAAAATCAAATGTTTATCAACTATTTTACCTTTTTGAGTTGCTGAAGTGTTGAATGTGTTTAAAGAACTTGTCAGTAATTCAAAGAAATTGTAGCACCAGTGTAGCACCAGAAGCGTAGAAATGGACAGTAAGGTCAAAAATATATATTATTCAAAAGAAGCCTTTGCTGTCGTTCGTGTATCATACTCTTTCGTTATTTGAATTGATAAAAATCTTCAGTTAATGTGCTTTTGACATTTTTATTTGACAAGTTATTTTTAGTTACTAATTTGTCACTACATTGCAATTTTGCAACATATTGTACAGGTTTTTCGCATCTCACCACTCAGTACACTCAGGTCATTTTTTCCAAATCTGACACTGACAGTGCGGGAGTTTTGCGAACGGATATTACTTACGCTACTAAAAGACTGACGACTGACGACTGACGCTGTTAAATGTGTACGACTGGTGTACGACTAAAATACGAACAGAGCAGAGTGAATGTAGTAGTGGTAAAAGTAATATATGTTATTGATATGATGATTAAGGTTATCTTTTTCATAAATTACTGATAACCGTTACGTAACAACCAGTGTTGTCAGACGTAGCCGAATTTTGACCAAAGAACGACGTAACGGCGATAGCGCAAAAAACCTGGAAATGTAGCTGAATTTTTCTGAGATTAGTAATTAGAAATAGTTAAAATTGTAAAATTCGAGGGTTTTTTTTGTGCGTTTTTCATTTTTTTTTTTGGGATTTTGTATTACATAAAATGCCAAAATGCACAAAAAAAAATATTTGAATGGCGGATGTAAAGTTCGAAATTTTTACATTTTTAACCCTCCCTCCCGGCGCTGTAGCGGAATTTTACCGTTTAACCAGAAAACATACAGAAGCGTCATAATGTTTTTGACGACGCGTTTTACTTTCGACAAATTGACGCTAGATTTACCAGAATATTACAAGCTGCTTACTGTTTCCTTCACCTTAATTCAGACCACACGAATTACAACTATAGTGAAACAAGGTTTTTATTGGCATCGACTAATTAAATTTGGCGGTTGAGGACTCCAATGTCAATAAGGGTGATTTTGCAAAATCAGCCTGTATGTTGCATCTACATTAATCTATGATTTAATTCTGGCAACACTGGTAGCAACGTAAAAAATTATTACATCTTATAAAATTAATGTTCACTGTGGTTGATTAAATACTTTGCTAACGTTAATGTTGGATCAGGTGTGATTGTACTACCCAGAAGTGAATTGTGACAAATGAAATTGCCATGTCAGTGTTTTGTAAACAGTTTTTAAATAAGAGCGAGAAATGGTTGTTTCATCGCACTGCAACTTCAAATGCCATTCTTTTCACCGGTGTTGCCAGCAGAACACACATGTGTGGGTTCTCGAGTCATTTAAAACAAAGGTAAGGCTTGCTTGCTTGACTTTTGATAAGTAAACTACGTTCACGTTACTCGTTACATTAACCTTTTCAAGGTTAAATATTTATATTTTTGGCAGTGACTGGGTTCTCTTTTTCTTCCACTCGGTATGTAACCAACAAGGGTCGATTTAGTAACCACGTACAGTACCTAATATGACACTGAAGTTTATGCTTGAAACTGTCAAATGAACAAATATACTTCACTATATTGCTCCTTTGAGTACGAAATCTTCGATGTTAAATAGAGCCAGAGATATTTTTTGTGTACTACTTCATTTGAGTTAATTGTGCGCACTTACTAATTTGTAACTTTTTTACAACAACAAACAAATTTAACCCGTGGTTGCTTTCCGACTTCCGAGGTTAACGCCGTTGGAGTTTAAAATGTGAAAACACGTGTTTGAGGTTAGTTATGTTTTTTTTTTTGTTGTTTATACAGGGTTTCTAACTATATATGATTACAATATACGATCGAAGTAGGTCATGGATGTGCGCCACCTATCAGTTTATGTGAATGTGAATGCTACTAAATGCCCACGGATTCACGAGTTTACGACGGATACCAGACGTGTCTGTATAACTGGTTGCCTAAATTCTTCATATCTCAAAAAAATAAAACTAATTCATTACAATAAAAAGAATAGTTATTTATATACCAAGGACGAAAAACTGTCTATTACAGTCAATAATAGACAGTTTTTCGCCGAGGTATATATTACATACCATGGTTAGAAGTAATTTCACCACAAAAGATGACAGAAGTTGCGCGACTTGTAGTCGGGCTAGCAGTGGCGTAACATCGATATATTGAGAAGGGAGGCTCGGCTGAGTTATATTTCTTTCAAAAACAATTAAAAGACGCAATTTCTACAAAAGAATACCAACAACCATTTAATAAAAATAAATGTATTTGTTTGGTAAAAAAATAGACATACGTAACAATAAATTATTATAATCTATCACAAAAAATTTGGTATTTTTAATGGTTAAACGAGTTTATAATGTGAAGGATTATAGCAGTAGTAAAAAATTTCACGAACCCCATTATAAACCAGTATCATACGCTGTTTTATAGTTGACTAGTCTTAAATCAACAGTTAAATCTTTAGATAAAAGCGGGGGTAAAAATCTGAGAATTAGCAACCCATGACTATAGTTATATGGTTTTTAATTTTCTGGCATAATTTGTCAATACCATAAAGTTGGATTATAATAAGGCTGAACGTTTTCTGTCTTTAATCCCAAAGTGATAATCACAATTCATATTTTAGTATAATTGTCGTTTATAGAACTTCGACTCTACTGTAATTTAACAGTTGTTATTGCTCACTAAAAGTTACCGTCTTACTTCTTTTACTTACTTTTTTATTCAACTCACATCATAATAATGCAGCATTAACAAATCTTTAAATTCATTTTTTATAATGTCAACGCTAATAAAATAGAAAATTGATATTTTTATTAACACCAATAATATTTCAAAGTCGAAAGATTTTGAGTGCCCCTGGAATTGGCCCTTTTCCTGTAAGCAACGTTAGTAGGCATATAAATTCCAATGATACAGTGTGAGACAACATCCCGCAGGCGAAGTCAGATTTTTGGAGCGCCAAGTTAAAATTAACTAATGAGCGACAGATTACGCATGTGTAGCCGGTTGCATTCTGTCAAAACGGTTTGTTGTCACAGGCCTTTGCTCTGTTGCCGGAGTGCCGGATACTATTTCCAACGTGGTTTTGAAGATGCGTGCGCACGGAAAGTCACTATGGAAGTTTTACGATCTTACAGGAAAAGAGTCAATTGCGCGATTACACCCAGCATTTGTTTTAATTTTCATCGCCGCTGCCACTGCTTTCACGATATTTGTAAGACCAATCCAAAACAATGTTTTGCGCACTCCCACCAGCTGTACCCTTTCGTGATGAAATGAAAGCTACTCTCACTTTACTAAATCGACTCTTCTTGGTTACGCACACAGGGAAAAAAATTGGTCTAAAGAGTTTAGAGAGTACTTCCCTCGCTGTCGGAAACTTGACGACTTGCATGCCTATTGTGTTTTTTTTTCTCATTACATTTTTGTAGTGGGAATTTATTGTGATGACGTCATCCACATTTTTGCAAGGACACGTATATCAGTTGGGATAGATGTAGTGTAATACTAAGAATAAAATTATTGTATTCCCAAATTTTCGGGAAAATGAATTCGGTCGTTTTGAATATTGATTTCTTATAATCAATAAAATAACGAAACAATTTACTCACGTATACGGCGCCGGTGTGTAATATCTAGAGAGCGGATTTCTGTCGGGCTAGGCAAGGCCAAACTCGGTACGGCTCGTACGGGATGCGAATTCATTGCGGTTGCGGACTGCACTTCGTTTATTTGAGATTAGAATAACGCTGTTTCGTTGCACTCTGCTGTTAATTCCCGTTCTCATTTACTTAGCCGTTTGATTAATAAATCGTTAATTATATTTATGGAATTAGTACCAATTAAATTAAGTGATTATCTATCACCCGCTACTGAGTCCCGGCGATCCAGCGCGTGCCCACCTATAATCGTGACGTAGCCCGACAAAAATCCGCTGTCTAGTAATATGAAAGGCAACTGAAAATCGTTTATGTATAAACATTCTTAATTTAAGATGACAAGCGTAACAGCATACGTGAGAGTCAAACAGAGAAACTGTAAACAAAACGACCATCGGTTTTATTGCTTCGACTTCCGCTTATTATATAAAACATTGGGTGTTATTTTAATTCTTGACGGTGAAATTTACAATTGGTTGATTACAAACATGTCTATTCCACATTCGCGGAACCTAGACAGCGCACACGTCTGTAATGTTAAAGTCGATGTAAATAAGCGTGCTACCCTTATGTTTCAACCGAGTTTTTGCTTTAAAAAATTTTGTATCTACCAAATTGGATTGGTCCAATGTAATACTAATAATAAGTGTTGCCTTTAATTTAATCAATAAAATAAATTGACTTCATTAATTTTTTTGAACCACCTCTTAAGAAAATCTAAACAATATGAATGAAGTGATAAATCACAAGTACAGACTCATCATATTTTTACGCTTTAGATAGGATTTATTCGGCAAACTTTCGAGCTGACGTCATCAAATTTTTTGAGGGGGGATTAGCAAATACATTTTGATAAAAAAGTTAACGTGCTTATGATAACTTTAATACATCTCCTATGTTTCAAAGCATTCGGTTTTGTTGTTCCTGATTAACTCAATAAAATAAATTCACGCATTCATTAATTTTTTGAGTCACTCTGTATATGCAAATCGAAAAAATTTGAATGGAATGATAAATCACAAGTACAGACTCATCATATTTTGTACATTTTAGATAGGATTTATTCAGCAAAATTTTGGGGTGACGTCATCAATTTTTTAGGGGGGGATGAGCAAATACATTTTGATAAAAAATTGACCATGCTTATGATAACTTTAAAACATCTCCAAGATTTCAAAGCATTCGGTTCTGTAATTCCTGATTAAATCAATAAAATAAATTGACGCATTCATTAATTTTTTTCGGTCACCCTGTATATGCAAATCGAAAAAATTTGAATGGAATGATAAATCACAAGAAGAGACTCACCATATTTTGTACATTTTAGATAGGATTTATTCAGCAAAATTTTGGGGTGATGTCATCAATTTTTTAGTTGGGATGAGCAAATACATTGTGATAAAAAATTAACATGCTTATGATAACTTTAAAACATCTCCAAGATTTCAAAGCATTCGGTTGTGTAATTCCTGATTAAATCAATAAAATAAATTGACGCATTCATTAATTTTTTTGAGTCACCCTGTATATGCAAATCGAAAAAATTTGAATGGAATGATAAATCACAACAAGAGACTCACCATATTTTGTACATTTTAGATAGGATTTATTCAGCAAAATTTTGTGGTGACGTCATAAATTTTTTAGGAGGGGACGACCAAATACATTTTGATCAAAAATTTACCATGCTTATGATAATTTTAAAACATCTTCAAGATTTCCAAGCATTCGGTTTTGTAGTTCCTGAGTAAATCAGTAAAATAAATTTTGCGCATTCATTAATTTTTTTGAGTCACCCTGTATATGCAAATCCAAAAAATATGAATGGAGTGATATATCACAAGTACAGACGCATCATATTTTGTACATTTTAGATAGGATTTATTTGGCAAACTTTTGAGCTGACGTCATCAAGTTTTTGGAGGGGATAACCAAATATATTTTGACTAAAGATTTATGATGCTCTTTAGAGCCTTAAAACATCTGCAACATTTTAAAACATTCGGGTTAGCAGATTCAAAATTAAATTGCAAAATGTTGTTTTATGATTTTGATTTTTTTTCCAAAAATCTGGACGTTTCGGGTAAAAACTGAATTCGGAGTCGTAAAGTACATGTGTAGGACTATGTTATTTTATACAATTTAAGACCCATTTACTATGTACAATTTTGAAGTGACGTCATCGCATTAGTGGTGGGGATGATTAGACAAATTTTGGTTAGCGTTTTACCATCTACATGATATTCCTAATATAAGTGCAAAATTTCACATCAATCGGTCCAGTACTCTCGGAGATTATCTGTCTAATAAAAATCCGGGACGGCAGACGGACAGACGGACGGACAGACAGACAGACAGACGGAAATGGGAGACCTATTTTTTCGTATTCTAGGAGTCATGAAAGATCGAGAAAACGTAAAAGTAGAGAGTCGGCCGACGGACTCGATTACAATACTTCCTTTGCTTACGCTCGGGAAGTAAAAAGAGAAGTCACAGTCACACTGCCAAAAAATATGAATGTTTGATTGTGAAAAGCTTAATGCAACGTGAATTTAGTTTAGTTACTTAATTGGAACAGCTGTCAGAGGTACAAGAGGCCTCCAATTATGTCATTTTTTAATAAAATTCTCGATTAAACATGCAATCATTTGTTTGAAACGTTGTGCAAATGCCACATGATTAATTTTGGTAGAAGGTAGAACCTAACAAATTCTCGGCAAAAGTGCCGTTGAAGTAAACATTTTCCAATCAAAAGAAATAATACTATTTATCAGATAATTCTACAGGTTGATACTACGTATAAAATGCACTAAATTAAAGACAATGTATGGTCAGTTTGGACACGTTTTATATATATGATGCGAATGATATTACCCGTGGTTTTAAATAATGGTTACGATCGTCCTAATAAAACATGCAATATGTATTCTCCATAGAAGAATATATTAGATATCTATGATCACTATGGTGTAAAGTCGCCCCAGTTTTACCCGTTTCATTGTTAAAATTGTTCCGAAGACAGCACGTGGCTTTACCGATTAATGGAATTGGCCATGACAGTATACATGGCCAATTGACCAGTAAAGTGAATGACGCGCGAAATTTGAACTCAGTTCATAACACGAGAGCCGTATTTCAGTTCCCCGTGTAATCCTTATGGGTGAAATCGAGGCGTCACTTTAACGCTTAAATTGTACCATTAAAGTCATTTTCTTATATATCCCACTACCTGTACCATTAAGACTGATATTTTTACTATTGATCTTGATACCAAACATGAACGGAACCGGTGGTATTTAATAAATATTTAAATTCAACTTTTACCACTACATTTGCCTCGAACGTATATCGTACAGTGGTTCATACTGCCATTGACTTCCCCCTCCACATAAATGGCTTTGATTTTCAGATGCTACAGATACGGCTGTGAATTTAAAATAATACATAAAGGAGATCTCATATTTGCAAATGTTTTCAATCAATTGCCAAATTTTGATTTAAGAATCATCAATCCCAAGCTTTTTTCTTTTCACACATTTTTGCTAGAAAAGGAAAAACTTAGCATTCGTGATTAAACCTTTCATGTACAAGTAAAAATCACTTTCATTTTAGTACGAATTGGGTGTGAAACACCCATTTAAAAAAAAATCACAATTTAAAGAACAATTTATTTCAAAACAAAAAAAAATTCTACAATAAAAAATTGCACTTCCTAATGGAAAATAAATAACTGATTCACTTTTGGTGAAAAACTGACCCACAAACTGTTATCTTGATGGGCCATTTAAATAGTCCTCGGACACTAATAGTTCTTCGAAGTAGGTTTTCTTCAGATCTTTCTGGTTCAAGGTCCAATAGCCAATGCAGTGCTTCGCTCCCATCAGTTTGTCGTAAGCTTTCATGAAGTTGTACCTCAACATTAGCTGTTTTTAGGCTGACTTGGGGATTAAAAGAATTTTCAGAGACAACAGCTCTGACTTCAGCTGATTCACTTTTCTTCAGATGTACGTCCCAAGCACGCAAATTATTGGTTCAAAATACATTATAACGTCCGTGTAGGGCAGGTGTAGCCATATGGTGACATACAAAAGCACCTCTTGGGGTTTCACATGTTGCCTCTCTTAAGGAATATCTATGCATAATAAAACAAAATAATACGTCATAATTTTACTTGATACAGAATTTATCAATATACATTAACTTACCATAATCTTCTCGCATTATAGCTCGAATACACTGTCCAAGCACATTTAATTCAGTATACCAATTGACTTTCACTACATTATTTGACTGTAAAGAATTTTCTCCAACAAAAAAAAAATGGCAATTGCCCCTATTGTTAACACATGTCTTTCTGTCATTATTAATAACAAATACAAAAAAACCAGTCCACAGATACATACAACCTAATGTGAATCAATATCACAGAACTAATATATCATCTAAAAATTGTGATTATGATTGTTTGTTGTGATGAAAATACGAAATCAACTGTCATATTTTGGGGATTTTCACGATCCAAACGTCACTAGCCCCGCAAAATATTCGCGTTCTTTTTCTGCCCGGCGTGTTTCTGGATTTTCCGTTTCACTCATGCGCCAGGCATTAGATACGATGTACGTTACTTTGATGAACATCGTTGTTTTTAATTTGCGATATTTCTTTAACAGAAGCTTTTTATATAGTTAAACCTTCAGTAACAGGAAGATAATTGAACAGTCTTTATCGCTTGTAGCATGAACTAGTTAAGATTTCTACCTGTGCGGTGTATTTTATCTGTAAAATCAAGCTCCCATAAGAAACCCATAGTAGAATTTTTGAATTATGAACTGCCGCGCATTCTAAATTCTAACCTTACTTTACTGGTCAATTGAGCCTAGCTCCGCTGCACTTCATGTATTCTTCATTTTCATTGTTGAACGTGCTGAAGATGTAGGCGCCACATTTGAATTTCGCTGGAAGAAAATAATGGTTACTTGAAATACTTACCAACACAACTAGCTAGGCACCACTTAAGAGTGAAATGTTTTGAGCTTTGTACGCAAAATAAAAAAACGTAAACTGCTGACTCAAGTATTTCCAAAAATTAAAAAAAAAACACCAACACTGTATTATATCTTGAGAATACAAGTGACTACATCGTAGTATTAAATCTGAAGTTTGATATGGGGGGAAAACAAAGATAGGTTATAACATAACTAATTTACACTCAACTGCAACTATAAACACATATTCAAAATCAGTTACTATCGGAAATAGATGTTCAATTAATTCAAACAGCAAAAATATTATTAAACTTGTAAGAAAACATAACCCCTCACGTTTTTCCAGTCCACGAGGGTATGAATATAACCGCACTTTTCCAGGCCCTTTACCATAAATGAACTTTTAGCAATCTCAAGTGTGAAATTAAGAAGTGTGCTATAATGTAAATAATGTAATACTTAAGTAAAAGCATCTAGAAACCTTAGTTATAACTTGATAAACAAAAGATGACGCCTAAGTGAGTGAATTTTCCAGCAGGTGATTTATCTGAACAATTTCATGACTGCTAAATTGTGTTAGAATCAGGAACAATTAAAAATCTTAGCATGAGTTGTGAATTTACAAACAGATAAAAATTGCCATGACCTGTTAACATCACGGTTGTAGAATAGATAGGTTTGTACACTAATGGCTTAGGATGGCGACGCTTCTTTTCGATCCCTATATCCATGGAAAGGACACATACAGCTAGCGCCTCTACCTTGTCGATCGGAAATCATTCTAGTTATTTTGGGGATTTTCGTTTACATTGCTTTATGAACAATACAAAATTTGTAACTGACATTTGATCGTAGTCGATAAGTACGATTTCTTTTATTAATTACATCGGTTATAGACAGATGCCTATAGAGTTCTGTGTCCCTAAAACGTCAAAAACCAGACGACGCGATCGGCAATTGGCGTCGCTGACCAGGGATATGCAAATGTATGCTAGTGTATCAACCTATCTATTCTATAACCGTGGTTAACATCGTCAAAAATTCACACATTAGAAAAGGCTTAATAATAATTAATTACGATTTGTTTTTATTTAAACCATTTCTATGTTATGAAACTACAAAATAAATTTAATGTAGGTACTCGTAGTTTTCACCTTTCACCTCGTGTTTACATGTGTGTGTACTGTTCCAATCGAAGTGACGCGACGCGCTTCAAAAGTAAAGTGAGTTACTAAAATTCTGTCCACTGTTTCGCATTGTCACAAGAGTGACATTCCTCTGAAAATGCACGGTTGCCTATTGACTAATATTCTTATTTTATTTTTCAAATTCAAATTATTCAAATGCGGTTTCGCTACTTTGTTTTTTTTCTCAACGCGAAATTTGGGACAACACAACTAAACAAATTAAATAAATAAAACTTGTTCTTGTCAGTGACGCTCGCGTTAAACTTACACATGAAGTCTTCTGTAATTTTCTATAAGCAATTGTTCAGTGAACAATATTTTATAAATGTTTTGTTTTAGAGACGAATATGATTTGGTTGTAGTAGGAGGTGGAATTGTTGGAGCAGCGACGGCTCGAGAACTTATGTTACGTCATAGAAATATTCGCATAGCGATTTTAGAAAAAGAAAGAAAATTAGCTGCACATCAAAGTGGTCATAATAGTGGTGTTATTCATGCAGGCATTTATTACAAACCAGGAACTCTTAAAGCAAAACTGTGCGTTGAAGGATTGCATTTAACTTATGAATACTGCGATGCTAAAAAAATTCCGTATAAAAAAGTAGGAAAACTAATTGTAGCAACAAATAAATTAGAACAAAATCGATTGACAGATTTACATGAACGTGGAATTCAAAACAAAGTACCTGATTTACAATTGTTAAAAGGAATTGAAGCAATTAAAAATATAGAACCTCATTGTCATGGCATTGAGGCTTTATGGTCGCCACATACAGGAATTGTTGACTGGGGTCTCGTTACAGAACATTATGGTAATGATTTTGAAGAACTTGGAGGAAAAACCTATTGTAATTTCGAGGTTTATTAAGAGTTTTGTCATGAAATAACTTTCTTTAAAACTACCGATCTGATTTTAGGTAACAGGATTTGGGGAATCTGTAGACCCTTTGTATCCAGTGGAAATAACTTCTAAAAATGGTAAATTAATCAGAGCAAGATACGTTTTAACCTGCGGAGGATTACAATCGGATATTCTTGCTGAATTGTCTGGTTGCTCACGAGAACCTAGAATTATACCAATCAGAGGTGAATACCTACTTCTTAACTCAGAGAAAAACTATCTCGTGAAAGGTAATATTTACCCTGTTCCGGATCCAAGATTTCCGTTTCTTGGTGTCCACTTTACTCCTCGAATGGATGGGAGTGTTTGGCTTGGCCCTAATGCTGTACCTGCATTTAGAAGAGAAGGATATTCGTAAGCTTTGAAATTAGTTTTGAAACACTACTCACTTTTGATTTTTCAGTTGGTTTGATGTTAACTTTAAAGAATTCGTCGACGCTATGTCCTATCGAGGTTTCCAGAAATTAGCTTTTAAACATGTCAGTTATGGCGTACAAGAAGTTTTGAAATCAGTTTTTATTCATTTACAATTGAAAGATTTACAGAAATATATACCAGAAATCAGAGCAAATGATATCAAGCGTGGTCCGACGGGTGTAAGGGCACAGGCTTTGGACGCTGATGGAAACTTGGTTGATGATTTTTATTTCGATTTAGGCAAAGGACCCGTGGGATATAGAATATTACATTGCAGAAATGCACCTAGTCCTGGAGCTACAAGTTCGTTAGCTATAGCAAAAATGCTTGCGGATAAGTTACAAAAAGAATTTTCTTTAAGTCAGTTGAATGGTGCTTCAAGAGAGTAGCAGAGTATCATCATTAAAGAAATAAAGTTATGTTAGTTCAAAAAATATCTACTATCGATGTTTATATATTAGTTTTTTTTTATATATATAAATATGTACGGTTTGTAAGATGAAGCGTTAATAACATTTTTAACGGCAAATCCAATCTCAGATACTGTAAAGGCAGTTATTTAAACCAACTTTCCGGCTTCCAGAGCTACAGCATTCAATTATTATTATTTTCACATAGTTATTGTTTACAATAAAAGCGCGTAAATATTTAATTATTATAGAAATAAAAAGCATATGAATGCAGTTATAACGAACAATAAAATTATTATTTGACGAATACACCCCCTTCACGGATTTTGTAAGTTGTTAAAATTTTTATACCCGGCTCGAAAAAATTCTGGTTTCGATCATGATACAAGAAGACATGGTATGATATTGCGCATATTCTGTGACGTCGCGTGGCTGTCATGACCGCCAACGGAAACGGAGAGACTACTTTTTTGCTATGTAGAGGTCATGAAACGTCGAGAAAACATAAAAGTCCGATGGACTCGATTATAATACTTCCTCCGCTTACGCTTGGGAAGTAAAAAACAAAGCACAGACTGGAAACAATTTATTAAATAAAACTAACAGTCGTAAGAGACATTTAAAAAGTACATGGAAGAGCACATAAAAAAATGTCAAAATACTCGTACTTTATTATTATAGAAAATGTTACTCTTCAATTAAATTAATGGTGGTTCATAAACATATAGTTGGTACAAAATTTTTGGGGTAAGTGTTTATTACAATATTTTCACGTAAATCTCGTTTATGCAATTTCTTATATCAGCTTGACAAAACCCATAACTCTATGCCATAACTGCAATCAAAGTATATTTTGTAAGCGTAGTGACATTATCACTGTGCATTATCTCGATGTTCTTCGCAAGCTAAAAATTCCAGATTGATGTTTATTTAAATCTATATCTTTTGGAAAATCATTTTCTTTATATAAATGATTTCGGCAACAAAAGCTTGTGATGGATACGTGAGTTTATTCCTCATATCTTTTAAAACCATATATGCATGAATATCAGTAACTTTGTCCAATAACAAAGCCCCTCTACACGTTAACACATTTGCTGGAAAGAATTTTTCTGCAACTGAAACCTGCAATATACGCTGCTGTATTTATTGGAATTTGGGCAAGGTCTTTAATAACGAGCGTCGATGGTTTTTGTGTAGAGACTAATTTTGTAAAAAAGACTGCTCTCTTTGAAAATTAGACGTCGTAGGAGATTCGTTTAAATTTACAAAGGCACTGGAAATTAATGTGGTGGAAGAAGCCTTTGTCGTTAATAATAACTAGTATAGTATTACCAGAGATAATGGTATTACCTGATTCACAATTACCAGTGGCGGCTCGTGACCTTTTGAAGTGGGGGGGACACAATTTCTACTGTGACAATTTGATTGATGAGTTAAACATGAAGATATAAAACAGGTTGTTATTACCAATTAATAGACATTATTCTGTGACGGAAATAAATACAAAAATACATTCAATAAAAATAAAAAAAGGATTTCCCCACATACCTTGTGGTGACCGAATTTAAATGAAAGTTTTCGCGCTGAAATTAATTAACAGCGGCGCGAAATCACATTTGAATAATTTGAATTTGAAAAAAAAAATTCAATCACGAAAAGGGATTCGTTAAACATAGGCAACCAAATAGACATGTCGGATTTAATGCATGATCATTGAGTTAGATGGCAGCACGTAGCGCTATAGAGTTTTTAGTTAGAGGGTTGGTTGATGGGCAGAGAGAGAAACTGCATGGCATAGATTGATTCTGAATGTGCTTGTGTGAGTGTAAACACGTGGTAAGCACTAGGTTTAAATTAATTGGTAGTTAATAAAATGAGAGGAAGCCTTTGTTTAACGGCAATCAATCGTAATTTTCATAATGGCACAGTTGTCCCCAACCCGCGCGGTTAATTCTTGCGCCCTTTTAATCGGAGAAATGCGGACTTCCGGTCGGCTCAAGACACGTCCTGTAAATTTGTTTCATTATTTGTAAATTCACCAATCAAGTTAGTTTTTCTTAATAGTCAGCTAGTGCAAACACAATTTAACAATCAGGATTATTTGAATAAACCATTTGCTAGAAGATTTCATGAAATTCACTTAATCAGGAAAAACACCTTATGTTTAATTACGAATAGGTCTCTGGATGCATATACGTAAGTGTTACATTATAACACTTCTAAATTCTTCACACAAGATTGCTAATAGTTCATTTACGGCAGTTAAACAAGTTCATTATACTGCGAACTGGCGGGAGGGGTTTAAAACGTTTTCTTCCTTTAGGCGGTTATCATCGTTATCATTATTAATTCATCGGGGCATGCCTCACAACGCCACAGATTGATTAATTCATCAGGGCATGCCATCGCAACGCTACAGATTGATTAATTTATCAAGGCATGCCCTCCCAACGCTACAGATTGATTACATCACCGAGACGCTTTTTCTTCGCAACGATTTTAAAATTTACATCGCCGAGACGCTTTTTCCTCGCAACGATTCAAAAATTTACATCACCGAGACACTTTTTCCCTCGGACCGATTATTGCATATTTTTGTGTTTGTTTATTATGTGTTTTGTTGGGGTAACCAGTTCGCGGTATTTTAAAGTCTCAAAGTAAATTGTTTTTTTTTTTTTGAAGTACAATCACTTGATCATGATATAATTTGACATAATGTGAACTCTCTGTTTGAATCGTTGATAAAGTGTGGCAATTATTAATCTCTTGTAAATTTTGTTAACTCTGCAATTTTCCATCTCATACAATATTTCTTTAATCTCACGATTTTAACCTCAGTAATTTTATTTGTTGTATAATTTTAATTGAACGTAAATTTCATGTTCTACAGTTTTAACCTAACAGAATATTTCTATTTGTACAAGTTCATTTCACACCAGATCTCTTGTTTCATAAATCCTTGCTAAGTTTTATTTTGTAAATACTTTGTTGATGAATGTTTTCTATCATATAAATTATTTAATGTCCCATCTTTAATCTCACATAAGAATTATTTGTTGTTTAAAATTTCACAAGATTGTATGGCGGATCTAAATGTTGTTTATTGCTCTTTGAAACTTTAACACTTGTTCAGTTGTTGTTAACATCAGAGTTATAAGAGATTGAATATTTAAAAATGGAATTGAGGTTAAATAACACAGAAAACGGGGCAGAAGCGAAGTTCGGTTCCTAGTCGGGCTGGCGAGATTGATCGTGTCACCTGTACAAGTCCACAGGTTTGGATAGATTCAGGGGCCGCCGCCGATGTTGTAAATTTCTCGACTTGGACCATAGTCGAGATCTCTTGCGGGTCGGACGACCGTAATGGCCTAGTTCCGCAGGGCACGTTCGTAATGGAGATATGCGTGTAGGGTAGGCTTTGCAATAGATAGAATCACCGTCGTGGGGGGAGAACAGCTCCAGACCGGTAGCCCCAAACTCCACTTGTGCTACAACACCCCAGGGGTACTTTTGTTGTGCTCCTGTTAACTGCCGTAACCTTAAAAAAAATCTGCCGCCACACGCCCGTAATAACTTGTGTATTTGCATCCAGTTACTTAAGTCGGATTTTGCTTTGTTTTATTAAATTTGTGATATTGAAATATTTGCATTGATTCCAAACAGATGTATAGAATTTTCTGTTTGTTCGTTTTTCATATGTGTATGTCTGTCAATTCGCGAGTGTCCTTTTTCATATATCTTAAGGTGTTTGAAATGTAACATGTCCGAGAATAAAACAAAGGGGGTTTTTGCGCTGAGGAGTAAATCTTCGCAGCGTCTTTCCTCCGGTGAGGGGGTGCCGTGCTCCCCCCTCCAAAACAATTTTGTCTATTACTTCTTGCGGTCTCGACAGTGTATGCACTTGTATGAAAGAACGTCTTCCCGCTATTTTTCAAAAACAAAAAAAAACGCACAACGTAGGTTTCTATTTGTTAGACGGTCACAGCCAAGGCCAAACTTTGAATTTTTAAACTTTTCGCGGGCCTTTCAAAATGTTTCAAGGTCAATTTAAAGGCAGGAAGTTTGGGTTATTACAACATTTTTGCCTTCGGTCAAAATTTTACGGTCATGGCATCTAAAAGTTCATTTTGGACAGTCTTAGGCGGTTCCTTTAAAAACCGTTGCTTCTTTCAAATGATCTGATAAAGTCAAATTGAGCCATAAAATCAATCAGACCTCGAAATATACCTGGATTTTGTGATTCCCTACTTTCTTCATGTTCACGTAAAGCAAATTCAAACACTCCACAAAATTTTATGTGCATTATCAATCGGCGTAATATATGGCGATTTTTCTCAACCCTTGCGTATGTGCCCGAATACTCTACTATTTCCGAATGTCTATATTACCGAAAAGATTATCCAAGAATATTTATCATACGTGTTCGCGCAGAATGAAAATTAAAACCTGCGATAGTAACTCAATCCTGCCGAGCACTGTCGGAATGGGACCGCCAGTCCAGGTGAATCAAGCGGCTAGGACGTGATGTTTTCATGGCAGCGGTGTAAACAAAGCCCGGCTTTTATCAGCATTTCATCAGAAATAACATCATATATCTAAGACACATCTTTAGATGTAAATGGAAGTAAGTTTTGATACATTTTATACAAGTGGAGCGAGATAAAAAAATTAGTTTTGATAATTATGACACGAATTTCCGGATAATTTTTTAAGGGTCCGTCGAACCGAGCTCATATTTCTGTTTTCTAAATTAGGCAACCCACAATGCAAGCTTATGTAGAGAGTTAGACAGCTGTCAATCACTAGGCTGATCGACCGTTTGGTACCTTCATAAAAGTTTATTAAGGAGAAAAGATTAAAGAGATAAAAGTCTCACAACCAGAGACAAGATTTTAAGAAAATGCGTCAATTTCCGTCTCTGCTCATACTCGTAGTACGCAACGTACCATGTTTCTCAGAAAAAGGCGGGAAGTGCAAGTATTAATTATTAATGACTATACTATACAGGTTCGCTAGAATGAATGAAAACGTTTAAATATCTTGAGAACCAATTGTGCAAATCAACTGAAATTAGGTATAGGGGTACACTACCATATAATTAATGCATTTCTGAATAGAGTT